AGGGATGGAGCCACCAGGAGTGCCTGCAGCACCAGAAATGTCTTCTTTGGGTCTTTGGAGCTTGAGCAGCTCGGTTCTCTGGGAGGTGCTCTGCCTCGAGCTTCCTCGTGAGGGTGAAGCTTGTGGCGCACACCTGCCGAAGGCAGAGCCACGCACGGTGACGGCTGCACCGACAGAGCTAGAAGGGACCCCCCGCTCTCCTAGGGCAGGCGTCCCTGCCACAGAGTCTCCAAAGGACTCATCACTCCCACCATATGTGTGACTCTCCCCAGGAGACCAAGGGTTTGGGGATTTTCCAAATGCACCCCTCCATCTCCCCCAGGATCTGATCGTTTCCTTGAGGCAATGTTTAGCTTCCCAGTCAAACATTAGCTATAAGGAAAGGAAAAATTAAAAGGAGCCCTTTTCCCACCAGTGGACCCGACATGAACAAACTTGGTGGATTTGCTGTCAAGAATTATCACACAGAAAAAAAATCATCAATACTTTGCAGCCGTTCATACAATGAGCCCGTGTTAGCAACACTCAGCTTCATTTTATTATTGCATTTTACGAAGTTACCAAGACAACTGAGGCCAAGTAATGGAACCTTGACTTTATGCGCCATGAAAATTTAATAAAGAATTTTTAAAGGCTTTTAAGAGGCAGGAGCTGTAGCCTAGCAAGCAGCAAGGGAGGAGGGAGGAAGGAGGAGGGCTCAGCACCAGGGGCCTCTCTCCAGACCTGGAGGAGCCTCCTGTCAGAGCTGCCGAGGTGGGCAGTGTGTCCCCCCACATCTGCCTGGTTTCAGGACATCGAGACTGTCCTTGCGTCGACAGGCATTTGTTGAGACACTTCCTGGGTGCCAGGTCCCATGTCAGGCTCTTCGCATTTGTTGTGGCACCGTCTCCACTGTACGGGCCAGGTCTAGGGCAGAGAGGTGAAGTCTGGTCTTGCATGTAGAGAGAGGAGAGACAGACGGCAAAATACAGGCACCCTCTCTTTCCACCTCAGCTCGGGGGCTCCTCTGGGGGTCTCAGCCCTCATTTTCTCCATTCAGAAAGGGAAATATCCCCCCCGACTTCTTTCATAGCCCAGCTCCTTGCCAGGGAGGGGCCTGGGGGAGTCACAGCAGGAGTTGGCAGTGTTCCATGGCCCAACACCACAGCCCTGGTCAGAATCACAGTAAGAGCCTCTCTGTCAGAGGAAATGGTTCACGTGAGCCTCTCGGGGAGCACTGTATGTTAACCCCGGGGCGATAAAGAGCCCCTTTCCCTCTGCTCTCTAAATGAGACTCAGGGACAAATTGCCAGAAATAAGAAAAACATCAGTAGTTTTGCCATTTTACACCAAAGCACCATGGTGCTGTGTGTGTGTACGTGTGTGTGCGCGCGCGCGTGGGTACATGCGTGTATGTGTGCGCCTTATACAGAAGCACTATGCTGTGTGATTTTCCTAGTTACATCCAAATCAAGGCTTTTGGTTATGAGAAATGGAGGTAATTGAATATGTCGGCTGTTCTGCAAGACTCCTTTGTCCCTGGGAACGGAAAACAATTTGGATTTATTCTGTGAGGGAGAAATCCATAAGCCGTTCGGGAAAATTTCTCTCACATTCATCAAACCAATAAGAGATTGGCAGAAATATCCATCCAGGTGAGGTGGATTGTGGGTTAAGGCATGCTGAGGGAGGACGGCTCCCAGAGAGGAGATGTCATTTCTGAGCTTCAAGGGAAGATGCTCAGAGGCCGAACATTTCAAGCCCAATTCTCAGTTACGGGGCCAAGGAGTTCGGGGCATCAATCAAGAAATTTTTAAAAATTAAGCTATTTTGGCCTCATACTCTGCCAATCACAAGGCAAATTCCGCATGTCGCAGGAGCGGCAGACACCATTTTTCAACCCTTGAATGTCTTCAAATGTGTGAGGATGGCAGGCGGCAGAGAGGGAGAGGAGCCTACTGTTGTGGCTTCATTTGTCTTGATGGATTGCAACGTTCAGAAAGGAATCTTTTTATTTACACTTTGTAGGAAGCCAGAAGCCAGTCCGATGATAACATGGCATTTGAACAGCACTTTGGTTTACAAAACACTTTCACGTATATTATGCTTTCCATTTCTCGTCCTGTTTCCCAGAGACCTGGAGCCCGTAGAGAGTCCGTGTCTCGGAACCCTTCTGGGATGCTCGGCCAGAGAAGAGCGGGTCAGGTGGCCCCAAGTTAAGTCCTGAGAACCAGTCCCTAGAGTCATCAGCCTCTCAGAGATGTGGTTTCCCACATCTGCAAAATGGGGCCAAAGCTCCTCTCCCCGCTGGGTTGTGGGGACATTGAGGCACCGCGTAGAGCAGCTATGGTGCCGAGAAAGGATTTGGAGTCAGGAGGCCTCACTGTGAGTCCTGGCTCTGCCTCTGACCAACCACGAGGCCTTGGGCAAGTCACTTGACCTTCTGGGTACTGTACGCTCATCTGCGAAAAGAGGATGATGAAACTCTTCATCTTCCAATGGTGCGTGGGGAGGATGGGATGAGAAGCTGGCTGTATAAGTACTTTGTAAAGTCCGAAGCATTGAGCGAATGTTCAATTCACAGGGGAAAAGAAGCTGGTTCTGGAAAGGCATGGAGCACCATTCCAAATGTCCAGGCTCCTCTCCCACCTGGTCCCGCTCACCCCGACTGCCTGTATGCACACCGGGAGGGAGCCCCACACAAATACAGGCTGCTGCGGGGTTGGAGAGATGGCTGGACACTGACGGAGGAGCCACGGGGAGGACCATCCAGCCTGGCAGGCCTTGGTCTCCAAGGCTGAACGAGAGAGGGTGTCACTGGGGGACGCAGCCCAGACATGAGCCTGGGACAAAGGGACATGGAGAGACTGTCCAGGGTCAGAGGTGCCATTTTCTGCTCCAGGCCACGGGACAGTTGTTGTGCCTGGGCACTAGCGAGCCAGCTGGGGATTTACAGGTGCTCAGTGAATCACCTTGGCCAGGTTTGGAAAACCATGGTTCCTGGGGGCACCCACTCGAAGGGAGAATGAGCATCGTATGGCTGCTCCTTGTCTACGGCCTGTAGGACACCTGGATTAGTTCGAGCAGCACCTGCTGGGTCCGGCTCTGTGCCCGAGGGGCTGGCATGAACCCAGCCTCTGCCTGACCCTGAAAGAACTCACCACTTGTGGGGAGCGAACACTGTGATGCCTGACCACAGGTGTGTTAATGAAGGAACTTCCCAGGTTCTCGCAGGCATAGGAGGGAGCAGTTCACTCTGTTTGGGGGGTGAAGACATTCAAGCAAGGACTCTGAAAGGTAAGTTTCCACTGGACAGAAGGGGAGGCCATGCAGGCAGAGGGGACAGCAAGTGTAGGGTGGGAGAGCACGGAGCAGGTTCGTGCCCTGCGGCCTTCCTACTGTGGCAGGATTCAGAACATTCTCTTCCCACTGGTAGCAAGACACACAAAGAGCCGTGGGAGCGCGGGGTCATGGGCAGGGCGCAGAGGCTGCCCCCTGAGGTGTGTGGGCCAGGCATGGATTTAGGGTGCTACTGGGAACTAGAGGGGTCGAGGAGGCTTGTTTTAGGAATGGAGGCACCTGTTTCCAGGAGGCTCTGCCTCTGTGGGCTCGGGGACCAGCCGTGCTAACAGCTGCATCGAACCCAATGCGCCTTTACAAGCACCTTCTGCCAGCTGCATTCTGGTCAGGTCGTGGGGACGTGGGGATCTAATGACCTAATACACATGCTCTGGCATGCATGCGCCCCAAATTGAGAGGCTCAGCCTGATCTTCTCATCCTTTCATTGAACCCATGCTGGAGGGCCAGCCCTTCAGGGACTCAGCCAGCATAATGTGAGATGTGGTGTGGCTGGACTGTGTGCGGGGTGGCGAGAGGGGTTGGGGGATCAGCAGGAGGGGGAGGAAGAGGCCAGATGGATGCTGAGGGCCGTCTCAGGAATGGTCTTATCCCATAGGCAAAGCACAAACACTCCCTGGCTGAGCTCCCTGCTCCAGCTCCTCTCTCGTAAGAGGCGGGAAACGTCTGCTTTTGCTGTCCCTTCCGTTACCCCCTGCAAAGTAAGTGGCCAGTTACCAGAGGGGGTGAACATAGTGGGGCTTCCTAGCAGGCACCGGGGAGGTGGGGACGTCCCCTATCACTCACTCTGACAACAGAGCAGCCTCCAATTCCTCTGTTCAATAGCATTGAGGGAAAAGGGCCCAGTCTGTCACTCGCTGGCCTCCTGTCAACCAGCAGCCTCATTTCCCTAACGCTGTGGGGTGCAGGACTCACTCTGCTGGGTCTGCGAGAGGGAGTGGGACTCCTTCTAGACAGGGACCCTGGCCACTGAGCAATCTTCCTCCAGATGACGTGCAAGGGGTGAGACGGGACATTCCTCACCATAGGAGCTAACATTTTTATAGCACTGCAAACAACGTGGCTGGAATTCACCCTACTGATAATTTTTCCCCCAACATTTAACGTGTTTAGCTGGTTTTAGACCTGAAAATTGCACTCCATGTTGGCAGATGAATGCTTTCTGAAAATCAACATCAAGAAATGGAGTAAAACTAGAGCTTTGTTTAAAAGACTCTTTCCTGAGCCCAGCTGGTAAGTGTGCCGGGACGAATCTACGTGGATCATTCATCATGAAGCTCGTTTCCTCTGTCAAGGGGACTGGAAGGGCGGGCGCAGGGCCTTCAGACTCTCTTTCTTATGGTGGACCCTTTCGGAACATTGATGGCCCTTGCATGTGCCGCCAAACTGTGTGACAGTGAGCAGAGTCCTGAGGGACCCTGGCAGGCTTGAAGCAGGGAGGACCCACCAGAGGTCTGTATCTGGAGCCGTGTTCATGCTCATCCAGAAACATAGAGAGAGGAGTCGACCAACAGGCCTGGACCAAGGCCTGACTCCACAACGAAACCTTCCAGGCCTTTCCTTCCGCATCTGGAAACGGGAACCGCATTACGGAACTGCCCAAGGTAACTGGTGAGTTGAGCCGACGACACCTCTACGATGTCCCCATGAAGGACAAACCTTAGGCTACTCGTCCTGCTCTTTGCTGGGGGAAATAAAGACACTGAGTGTCTCCTGTCACTGAACAGCCCAGAGTGGGCTCTGCAGGGCTCGGGTACTGCCGGGGTCCTCTGGGCTGGGGGAGGGCAGTGGCCTTGGGCTCCGGCCTGTGCCCTGAGGAGCAGGTGGGAGGAGACGGCAGGATGGGGTCAGTGCGTGGGAGCCATATGTGGGGGAAGCAGATTTCACTTCTTTCGAAAGTGGGCTTTCGGCAAGGATTAACAGAGGGCCCCCTTGCCAGGCGCTGGCGGGGTTTTGGATTAACAACCTTCCCTTCAGGTTTAAAAACATTCCTGGGAGGCTGGATCCAAGTCGCTCATTTCAACAGACTCTTTTTGAGCATCCGCTCTGTACCAGGCTCTGGGCTGAAGCTGGAGTCAGCTGCTCCCATTGGTTTGAGTGAAGGGGACCTGGATCAGGAGGTGGGGAAGGATGGATGTTAACAGGAAGAGGACGAGAGCAAAGCCGGAGAAGGAAGACGCACGCTTCTCTGGGACACGCTCTGCCCCACGGCCCCGCACCTGCCTCAGCTTCGCGAGCGTTTTCCGAGTTCTCCCGTGTGCCAGGCGCCGTTAACGCCCTCAGGCCTTTTCTCCTCACTCAGAGCATGATGGTCAGCTCTTCCCCGGGCCCCCCGGGGTCCTTTAAAAGGGACACTCTGGGAAAGGGCCACGTTAGCCCCAAATCCAACAACGCCGTGGAGGGCTAGGCGGTGCAAGGACAGTCTCTGGTTCGCCCGTGGTCAGTGGGCCCTGGACCCTGACTTGCCCAGGGCCATTTCCACAGTGCCACGTAGGCTGCCTCTCAGGCTTTCCCGTGAGAGAGGGGCTGCCTGGGGACATCGGTGGAGACAAGGGAAGGGTCTCGTGGAAGGGAGAGCGTGGGCTTCCCGTTTCTTGGCACCACGCCTGGTACCTGGGCTTCTGGCCCCATGCTCCTCTTGCCCTAATCCTCACCCAGGTCTTGTTCCCCGGCCCCCAGAAGTTTCCCCCTTCTTACCCAGAGCTCCCAGAGCCCGGTGGGCACATGGAAGCACCCCACCTGATGGAGGGCTCCAAGCAGAGGCCATGTGACCATGGGACTCCCGCTCTGGGGGGTCAAGGTCAAACAAAATCAGGCAAGATGACTTCTGAGTCCCCTGCCAGCTCCAAGACTCTAGGAGCCTTATTTAGTGACTTCTTAATTCTTTCTTAATTAATAACAAACCAAACACTGCAGCAACAGGCAAGCTAATGAAATAAATGAGGCTGATCTGTTCACTACAGCCATGTAGCACATGATTGGGATGGGGGAGCCACGGCGCCTGCTTGGATGTTTCTGTTTCGTTTTCACGGACCGGGAGGTGGGATCTCGACATGATGATCGGGGGCTTTAACCGGTGCTCTCTCCTGGAGCCCAGCACACCCAGGACTCGGCGTCCCCCAGTTCCTCCCTCAGCACGGTTCTCAGTCTGGGAGCTCAGTCTGGGGGCTGCTGGCGCCCCAAACGCAACAGTTTTACTCCGATGGTTGCTTCCCATGGGCCCAGCGTAGAAGACGCCATCTGTCACGTTTGGGATGTCATATGTCCACTGGTGACTTGCAAGCGGGTGGGCCACCAAGCGGCCCCGGGAGGAAGGCAGGCGAGAATCAGTCGGCCTTTCGAAGCGCAGCTCAGCAGAACATGGAGACGATCATTAGCATCTCGGGCGGGAATTCTCAGCCGCCCTCCGCCTCTCCACGGGCAGGAAGGCCAGGGCTTCTCGGCAGCCCTGAGTGGCTCACTCTTCTTCCGGGAGGGCAGAGTGGCCCTCAGGACAGAGCGTGTCTGGGGTGGGAATGCTTCTCCGTGCGAGGTGGGAGGTCGCTCTCTGCCAGCGGGGCTGCAGGGGTGGCTTCCTGGGGACTGCCGATGTCCGGGGGCCGGCCCCCCAGCGTGCCACTCCGGCCACACACCAGACGCTTTTCATCCAGCAGGGACAGGTGGTACTCGCACAGGTCGATCAGAGAGGCCACCTGCTCGTGGAGTGGCAGCATCTTGAACTTCCTCTGAGCCAGGTAGAAGAAAGCCTCTATGAAGGCCTGCAGGCACATCCCTGTGGACGAAGGGACCAGCGTTAGGGGGGTGTGTGCAGAAGCTGCCCAGCGTGCTGCTGCCCTGGGAAGGCCTGACTCCGCCCACTGGGCTTTTCCCCCCACCCCCCGCCGTCGGTTCCGCTCAGGAAATGAAACAGGGCTCACGGGCAGAGGGCCTGCCCACCAGGCACCGCGCCAGCTGGGTGCTTAGAGCAAACTTAATTCCTTAAGCAACCCTATGAAGCAGGTTTAATTGGCCCAAATTTATAGATGAGGAAACTGGGTTTCAGAGAAGTGGGAAGACCTGGGCAAAGTCCTATGGGTAGAAGGTGGTGGAGGTGGGATTTGAGCCTAGTCCAAAGCCTCATCCCTCTGCTCCACGGTGAAATGTTCCCATTGAAACCCAGCCCTCGAC